AAGGTGCCCTCAACCGGCCGCCATGTTTTAGTTTCAATTTCTCACAGCGAATCGGCGATCGCGAAGAGGGAGTTCCGCTTCTATAAGTGTAGAATTCTATGCATGGGATGATAATATCAAGAGGCTAGCCCGGAATAGGTCAATGTGGAACATGTTTGCTTTGCTCGCGGCCTGTTTCCTGACCCCGGACGAAAAGGGCATTGGTGATGATGGAGGTGACTCAGGACATACGGGCAGTCAGCTCCTACACCCATTGCACATGTACAGCCAATCGGATTCATTGGATTCAGTCAAGGCCAGTCTGATTTTCTTTCAAGGAGGGGCTCCAGAGGCTAAGTGAGTAGCGGAGAGGGTTTACAGTAATTACTGTAAACTCTGTGGTGAGTAGTGAGTTTAGATTCAAGATTAAAGTCGAGCAGGTGTCGGTGACACAGGGATCAGAGGTGTGGTGTGTCCTTGAGCAAGACACGACAACCCTAGCTAAATAAAAGCAGGCGCTTCACAGAGGCGACCAGCAATGTCATGGTTGAGAGATTGTTCTGAATTGGCCTTGTGTATTTATGTAATGTATATGTGTATGTATTTATGTACTATGTATTTATAATCATGTATTTATAATCATGCATTTTTGTAAGTATGTTTGCCACTTTTAACCAAATTGCCCTACTGGGAACATAAAAAGTGTAATTTATTATTACGTACTATTATTTATTATTATAGAAAATCTCCCATTTGGGCACAATAAGACAGATTCGACTAACGACCTTTCAAAGAAAATGTGTTTGACTTTGAAGGTCAGATTTAAAAAAAAATTAGTGAATTTGGTCGTACTGTGCCAAAATGGTAGCTTATGTCCCATCTGTGAAAGAAAATATGGCTGGCGCCCCAGCTTAGTACATTGAATCAGACTGTCAGTGTGTACTGGGTATCTAGTAATGTTAGATAGCTTTTTTGTATAGCGTAAATCCCCGCTCAACAGCAAGCTCTATGTGTTTAACAATCTATACTACTACCCCAGCAGACCTGAGAGCATTCTGAAACAAACTCAACTTCCTGGGAAGCATACAGTGCAAACACACCATTTACAGGCGCTAAATTACTAACATACTGACAAGGTATTTCGCTGTCTATGTCCGCGTACCCATTTCCACCTGGGTGAATTGAGGAAAATTCGTATAAAGTGCCTTTCCCAAGGACACAACATCGGGCCCGCGGCTCGAACCCCCGACCCCGCAACCACTCGATAACGAGTCCGGTAGCCTAACCACTAGGCCACCGACACCACCTGTGCCTAAGTGACGTAACAGCCCGGACACAGGACACAGGGTACAGGACACAGGCGCGCTGCTATCTCAAGATACATACCGATGTCCTATCTAGTTTAGTTTTAATAATAATAATAATAATAATAATAATAATAATAACAACAACAGCAAAAATAATAACAAAACAATAATAATAATAATAATAATAATAATAATAACAATAATAATAATAATAATAATAATAATAATAATAATAATAATAATAAATAATATATAACATTTATATAGTGCATTTCCAAAGTAAGTAGCTCAATGCGCTTTACATTGGAATACCCATTTTCAAAATCTTTCTGACTACTTCCTTTCTTCTCATGCAATATTTATTTAAGAACACACACTCACACACACACACACACACACACACACACACACACACACACACACACACACACACACACACACACACACACACACACACACACACATACACACACGGGCTATTTTCATTCAGATGTAGGCACAGAACAACTAAATTTATAATAAAGAAATAACGCTAAAAGCTTATTAAGGATAGACCTGTAGGAACAGAAAATGGTTTAGTCAGCTAGTTTAGTTTTACTACACTTGCTACACAGTAAGGTCATGGAAGTGCCGAAGATTAAAGGTGTTACAATATGATTACTTGTTTGCTTGAGTAAAGAGAAGCACATCGACACAATAATGGTCATAGTTTAGTGCTTGGGAAAAGTAAGGAAGTAGGACCTACCAGTGGTTTCCTCCTACCACTCGCTATGCTCTGTTTAGTTGGACTTTTGAACTAGGCTGTAGACGACAAGACTCAAATAATTCATTTAAAGACGTTTTTGGGCTCATTCTTTTTTTTTTGGGGGGGGGGGGGGGGGGAGGGGGGATACTTATTTTCTTCTCCTTCAAGTGTAGGCTATCTTTTTTACC